TAATTAAGCCTTATACTTAATTTTACTCACTAAAACATGCTTAATTATTTAATTAAAATTAATCAATTAAATGCTTAAGTTTGGGGTATTATATTCACCCCACCTTTTTAACGATTTTGTCCTCAAAATCGACAAAACCACTCATTCAATCATCTATGGATTTATCGGAGAACTCTTCTTGTGTTCCCGAAGTTACCCTATTAATCAGTTCCTCTTTTCCTCATCATCTTATCATAAGATGAAATGTTTCATTCATGATTCAATCTATGTTTTATAATTAGGTGATACTAATATGTTCAAGCACTTTTATCTTTCATTTTCCTCAAGGGTCATACCTATTCACTTGATATTTAACCCTGACCTTCTGCGGTCCTACTAATAACCTCATACATAAAATCTCATCTGATGGAACTTCCAAGAGAGATCCGCTATGGGCTGTTTCTCTTAGGTATCTGACCACAAGGAGGTCCCGAAGGCTAACTCCAAGGGAAGTTCCCCTCAATCTAGACCTTTAATGAGAATTCTCTATCTCATAGGATACTATCCTCATGGAGGTAATACTACCACTACATCCATGGAAAGGTCATTGCATACAACTTACCATCTTTTAGCAATCAATACATAGTCTAGTCTTTAATTACTAGACATAATGAATCACACAATCATAATTGAGTCCATAGTCTAAGCATGTGTGGCTCCAACCTCAATAAACTATGCATGTCATATTAATCTACATGCGTCATACCTCCCGTCAAGTATGGGAACCTCTCTAGCTGGGGTTGGGTCGAAGTGCTAACATGTGCCGCTGTTGAAGGATCAGAGACCACTTGCACATGAGCAACTCGTCCCACGATTTGGGGACAATCCCTCGCATAGTGACCAGGTCTAGCACACTTGAAACATACGTTCTGGCCCATCAAACAAACGCCCTTGTGATGCCTGCCACAATTGTCACACTTTGGCACAATAGGTCTTTCATTGTCCCAACTCTGTTGACTCCCGCTTCTTTTAAACTTTTCTTCAGACTGTCTAGCTTGTAATTTTTCTTTAATATTCCTGTCATCCATCTTCTTACCCTTTTCTGAAGTAGAGCCAGTTGCTCCACTAGCACTAGATGCTTGTGCCTCGGAAGACTTCTTACTTTTCGACACACCATAAACTTCTTCCACCTTCCGGCATTGGTTCACGAATCTACTAAACTCTCGGATGTCACAATTTGACATCTTTCGAGACATCTTCTCATTTAGACCCCATTGAAATTTAGAGGTCATCTCGGCCGGAATGGGTAAGGCTCTCCCATAGTTAGCATATTTCACCAATTCATTGAACTTGGCGAAATATTGGTCAATTGTCATCGACCCTTGCTTGAGATCGTTATACTCATTCTGTTCTGTTCCCTAGCCTCCCTAGGGAAGTAGTTATCCAAGAACAACGTCTCGAACAACCGCCAGGTGATTTCCCGGCCTTCAGCTTCTAATGGCTGCACGGTATTGGTCCACCAATCCTCCGCTTCTTCTTCCAGCATGTACACGGAGTAGGCCAACTTCATTGCATCAGGGCATCTCATCAACCTGAATATTTTCTCCATCGCTTGGAGCCATTTCGCAGCCGCCATTGGCTCATAACCTCCCTTAAAAGAAGGAGGTTTGTGTTTTCGGAAAGCCATCAGTCTTCTTTCCCCAGCTTCATGATCACCAACATTTTCAACACGTGGTTGACGAACCTCAGTGTGATGGCTATGACTTCCAGAGTGGTGGCTAGCCTCACCTTCATTGTTACCCGCTACACCCTCTTCCTGTGAAGGAGGTGGAGAAGGCGTAGCAGTGTGAGGAGGAGGAGTGGGTTGCCGGTTCACGGGCCTAGGACCCCTCAACGTCCTCAACTCGGTCATCATCGCGGCCATAGCAGTCCGCGAGTCTTCATTTGTCTTTAACAAATTTTCATTGGCTTGCCTGCTAGCAGCCAACTCTCTCTGAACGGCTGCAAGAGCTTCAGCCACGGGATCAGGCGGTACGCCCGTTGCCCCACGGCCACTTCTGGGCCTCACAAGAGCAGCCAAAACAGGTTCTGGCTGAGCATTGGTGTTTGATGGTCCGGGGTTGTTTCGGTTCCTCGTCATGTCACTACACATGTTACACAAAGAAGTGAGTTGATCAGGCCCACACTTAGTGATCACAAATGCAATAATCATCAAGAGTACTAAAACAACTATAAAGCATCAAACACTAAGCATACTCAACAATAGCTAACAGTTATTCCCGACGAAACTGCTCTGATACCATAAAATGTAACACCCCGTTCTAGAACCGGTTTGTTAACATCGCATTATGATATTAAGCGCAGTTACAATCACATGGGTTCAATTAAAATCCGGATAAATTTTTCATTTTAAAACGTACCGAACTTATAATACCCAATTTCGTGATCATAACCATATTACCTTGCGGAAACAGATAAATTAAGCTTAACATCATGTTCATTTTCCATTTTTAAACCATTAATTTACTTCTTATTTAGTTCACAACCTCTACTATATTGTAGGTTTCTTCATTAGCTATGCGTGGCTTCAAACCGCGCTCAAATCGGAGCACTGTAGCCCAAGTTAGGACAATTTGAAGCAACACAAGATAGTGTTGGTCACAGGCCCCGCGCGCTTCAGCGCGCTTCAGCGCGCGCTATCGGGCGCTCAATCCTCCATCTGGGCGCTTAAGCGCACGGAGGCAGTAAGCATCAGTGCATTTCCAGTGTGGATGGGCGCTTAAGCCAGGGCGCTCAAGGGCGCTATCCTGGGCGCTTAAGCGCTATGTAAGGGACGTTTTAGCGCGCAGACCAGAAGCATCTCCATGGGCTGAAGCATCTCCTATGTTTTTTGTGGGCGTAGGGATCTCTCTTGGAAATGTGATGCTTGTGGATAAGAATGTGCGGTACACCAGGGCGCTTCTTACTTGTGATAATTGGGCGCTTCAGCTCATTTCAGGTACTGATAGAGGGCGAAGCGATTATAGACTGTACCTGATAGGGCGCCTGCTATATGTATATTTTGATGCCACATGATGTATTTTGGAGGACTTAGTTGATCATTGAGTAGTAATGATATATGGTTACTTGCTTTGATCATGTTCATTTTGTAGCTAAGTCCTTTGGCATGTATATGAGATTTGTAATTTGACATTATGTAATATCAATGACAGAATTTGTTATGATGCTTACTGTAAGTTAAATGCATGAATCTGGATATTAAATGGGAAAATTGAGGAGAGTTAAGCAATGATATAAGGATATCACAAGCTTGTTAAATAGGTTGTAAAATGTGTAGGATTGATTCCCCAAGAAAGATGCATGAAAAATATGAGTATAGGAAATTGCCCAAGAGGGGGCTTAAGCCTGCTAAGTGCCCCTGCTCAGGGGGCTTAAGCGCATATAAAAAAGGCTTAAGCGCCCTGATGCACCTGTGAAGACCAAAAGCTTTCTGCCGCCTTTTAGCGCCCAAAATGGGGCTTAAGCGCCCTGGAGCGCGCTTAAGCGCCCTGGAGCGAGCTTAAGCGCCCTTGGTGGCTAAAAAATGTAAATTCCCTCTGTCTGTGCGCGCTTAAGCGCCCTGGAGCGCGCTTAAGCGCCCTGCCCGCGTAGTTTTTCAGCATACACCTGAGTTAGTAAAATTGTCATAACTTGAGCTACAGAGCTCCAAATGAGGAGCGGTTTGAAACCACGCGTAGCTAACGAAGAGATCTACAATATAGTAGAAGTTGAGAAATAAATAAGAAGTAAATTAATGGTTTAAAAATGGAATAAGAACATGATGTTAAGCTTTGTTTATCTGTTTCCGCAAAGTAATATGGTTATGATCACGCAATTGGGCATTATAAATTCGGCATGTTTTAAAATGAAAAATTTAACCGGATTTTAATTGAACCCATGTGATTGTAACTGCGCTTAATATCATAATGCGATGTTAACAAACCGGTTCTAGAACGGGGTGTTACATTTTATGGTATCAGAGCAGTTTCGTGGGGAATAACTGTTAGCTATTGTTGAGTATGCTTAGTGTTTGATGCCTTACAGTTGTTTTAGTACTCTTGATGATTATTGCATTTGTGATCACTAAGTGTGGGCCTGAGCAACTCACTTCTTTGTGTAACATGTGTAGTGACATGACGAGGCACCGAAACAACCCCGGACCATCAAACACCAATGCTCAGCCAGAACCTGTTTTGGCTGCTCTTGTGAGGCCCAGAAGTGGCCGTGGGGCAACGGGCGTACCGCCTGATCCCGTGGCTGAAGCTCTTGCAGCCGTTCAGAGGGAGTTGGCTGCTAGCAGGCAAGCCAATGAAAAAATTTTAAAGACAAATGAAGACTCGCGGATTGCTATGGCCGCGATGATGACCGAGTTGAGGACGTTGAGGGGTCCTAGGCCCGTGAACCGGCAACCCACTCCTCCTCCTCACACTGCTACGCCTTCTCCACCTCCTTCACAGGAAGAGGGTGTAGCGGGTAACAATGAAGGTGAGGCTAGCCACCATTCTGATAGTCATAGCCATCACATTGAGGTCCGTCAACCACGTGTTGAGCGTGTTGACGAGCATGAAGCTGAAGAAAGAAGATTGATGGCTTTCCGAAAACACAAACCTCCTTCTTTTAAGGGAGGTTATGAGCCAATGGCGGCTGCAAAATGGCTCCAAGCTATGGAGAAGATATTTAGGGTGATGAGATGCCCTGATGCAATGAAGTTAATCTACTCTGTTTATATGCTGGAAGAAGAAGCGGAGGATTGGTGGACTAATACCGTACAGCCCCTAGAAGCTGAAGGCCGGGAAATCACCTGGCGGTTGTTCGAGACGTTGTTCTTGGATAACTACTTCCCTAGAGAGGCTAGGGAACAGAAACAGAATGAGTATAACGATCTCAAGCAAGGGTCGATGACAATTGACCAATATTTCGCCAAGTTCAATGAATTGGTGAAATATGCTAACTATGGGAGAGCCTTACCCATTCCGGTCGAGATGACCTCTAAATTTCAATGGGGTCTAAATGAGAAGATGTCTCGGGAGATGTCAAATTGCGACATCCGAGAGTTTAGTAGATTCGTGAACCAATGCCGGAAAGTGGAAGAAGTTTATGGTGTGCCGAAAAGTAAGAAGTCTTCCAAGGCACAAGCATCTGGTGCTAGTGGAGCAACTGGCTCTACTTTAGAAAAGAGTAAGAAAATGGATGAAAAGAAGAAATTACAAGCTAAACAATCTGAGGAAAAGTTTAAGAGAAGCGGGAGTCAACAGAGTTGGGACAATGAAAGACCTCTTGTGCCCCAGTGTGACAACTGTGGGAGGCATCACAAGGGCGTTTGTTTGATGGGCCAGAACGTATGTTTTAAGTGTGGTAGACCTGGTCACTATGCGAGGGATTGTCCCCAGATTGTGGGACGAGTTGCTCATGTGCAAGTGGCCTCTGATCTTCCAGCAGCGGCACATGTTAGCACTTCGACCCAACCCCAGCTAGAGAGGTTCCCATACTTGATGGGAGGTATGACGCATGTAGATTAATATGACATGCATAGTTTATTGAGGTTGGAGCCACACATGCTTAGACTGTGGACTCGATTATGATTGTGTGATTCGTTATGTCTAGTAATTAAAGACTAGACTATGTATTGATTGCTAAAAGATGGTAAGTTGTATGCATTGACCTTTCCATGGATGTAGTGGTATTACCTCCATGAGAATAGTATCCTATGAGATAGAGAATTCTCATGAAAGGCCCAGATTGAGGGGAACTTCCCTTGGAGTTAGCCTTCGGGACCTCCTCGTGGTCAGATACCTAAGAGAAACAGCCCGTAGCGGATCTCTCTTGGAAGTTCCATCATATGAGATTTTGTATGAGGTTATTAGTAGGACCGCAGAAGGTCAGGGTTAAATATCAAGTGAATAGGTATGACCCTTGAGGAAAATGAAAGATAAAAGTGCTTGAACATATTAGTATCACCTAATTATAAAACATAGATTGAATCATGAATGAAACATTTCATCTTATGATAAAATGATGAGGAAAAGAGGAACTGATTAATAGGGTAACTTCGGGAACACAAGAAGAATTCTACGATAAATCCATAAATGATGGAATGAGTGGTTTTGTCGATTTTGAGGACAAAATCGTTAAAAAGGTGGGGTGAATATAATACCCCAAACTTAAGCATTTAATTGATTAATTTTAATTAAATAATTAAGCATGTTTTAGTGAGTAAAATTAAGTATAAGGCTTAATTAAATGAATCTAAGTCACTTTGGAGTTAAAAAGTATACTCAGTGAAAATTAAGGAGTATAAATGGGTACTGGCGAAAGTACCCAAAATATAAAAATAAAAATAGTAATATTCCTAGAATAATATTCCAGACTTTTGGGTAAAGTTTGGTAATTAATGGAGTTGAATAGATAGACGAACCAATACCCACTTAAAGTCACTTAACATAAGTTAAGTGACCAATGCAACAAAAGAAACCCAATTGTCCCTCCCCAACCCGTCGTGCAGAAGAGAGGAAAAGAAGAGAAGAAGGAGAAGAGGGGGAAAAGGAAGAGGAAAGGAGAGGGAGAACCCTAGGTGGAGCAATCCTCAACCAAATCCATCCGTTCAAAAGCCTAAACCACTCTAAATCTTCTCCTCTTTCATAATCCAAGCTTAGTTTTGAGTGGGGAGCATTGTGGAGAGGGATATTGCCCCTCAAAAATTCGGCCCTTTGTGAGATTTTGGGGTTTTGGGGGTTTCAACCTCCATTGAAGCTTGAGGAGCCATCAATCATTGGTTGTGTGACCATTGGTGGTAAGATTCTAACCCTTGAACCTTGTTTTCTTGGAAAATTTCATGGTTAGGGTTTAATGAATAGTGTTTTAGGGTTTTTATGAAATGTTGAGTAGATTGGCTATGTTCAAGGAAGAATGAGGCTTAGAGTATGTTGTGAAAAATGCTAGGAATGACATTTAATCGGTAGAAATGAGTTTATAGTGTTATTTTAGTATGCTTTGATGTTTTGAGAAATCTAGGCTTGGAACTATGGATTTCCTTGCATTGTTAGCATTGTTTGATTGTATTCCTTGTGTTGATAGGATTGAGGCAAGAGGACCAAGTGGAGTGACCAACCCTTGGGGTTGTGTGCAATTGAGGAAAGCTCAAGAGCAAGGTAAACCTTTGGACCTTGTGGTTGATCCCATTGAGTGTTCCACCATACTCCGTTGAGGAGAAATGGTTTATGAGATGTGATATGTAATTATGATTGTAATTATGCTCATGCATTGATTCATGCATTGATACATGTTATGATTGATTGATGATTATTGGTTGATGTTTGATTGTTTAAGAGTAATTGAGGAATGATTATAGAAGTAGCAATAATGAATGAGGCAATGGTTGAGGATTGTGATTGAGGTTATGAGTGATAGTATTATGATGAGGATGATTGGTAGGAACTTCCCTTGGAAACAGCCCTATGTGGATCTCCATGTGGTTAGAGCCTAAGAGGAACAACCCTATGTGGATCCCTCTTGGAGGTTCCTAGATTGAGGAAAGGACTTCCCTTGGAAACAGCCCTATGTGGATCTCCATGTGGTTAGAGCCTAAGAGGAACAGCCCTATGTGGATCCCTCTTGGAGGTTCCTAGATTGAGGAAAGGACTTCCCTTGGAAACAGCCCTAGGTGGATCTCCATGTGGTAAGAGCCTAAGAGAAACAGCCCTTTGAGGATCTCTCTTGGAATAGATTGAGGAAAGGACTTCCCTTGGAAACAGCCCTATGTGGATCTCCATGTGGTAAGAGCCTAAGAGAAACAGCCCATAGTGGATCTCTCTTGGAAGTCCATGTGATGCTTGTGGATAAGAATGTGTTAAGCTATTATGATTATGTGTACATCAAAGTGAACCTTAGGGTGGAGTGATCTCCAAGGACCTCTGGTTTACTGTGATATATTCGTATATCTCACCCCGTGTTGTGGGGCATCATTTCAGGTACCGATAGAGGTGAGGTTGATCGAGGCAAGAAGCGTGAGTAGACTGTACCTGATAGCTGGACATGTTGAGTTGCATGCCATTTAGCATTGCTATATGTATATTCTGATGCCACATGATGTGTTTTGGAGGACTTAGTGCATGATCATTGTAGTAGTAATGGGTATCGGATACATGGTTACTTGCTTTGATCATGTTCATTTTGTAGCTAAGTCCTTTGGCATGTATATGAGATTTGTGATTAAGACATGATGTAATATTGTAAGTAATGAAGATATTTGTGTATGATGATTACTGTAAGTTAAATGCATGAATGTATTTTTATGTATTGGATATGTTGAGCTGGAAAGTCAATTAGGTACCTCGTGCTAAGTTGGGAAACGTTGAGAAAACAAAGGTTATGCTGCCCAATTTCCGTTAAATCAATGATGAGAGGATGAGAGTCAAGCAATGATAAATGGATATCACAAGCTTGTTAAATAGGTTGTAAAATGTGTAGGATTGATTCTCCAAGAAAGATGCATGAAAAATATGAGTATAGGAAATTGCCCAGAAGAGGGGGCTTAAGCCTGCAAATGGAGGCTTAAGCCTGCTCAGGGGGCTTAAGCGCCCATGAGGGGGCTTAAGCGCCCTGATGCACCTGTGAAGACCAAAAGCTTTCTGCCGCCTGGGGCTTTAGCGCCCAAAATGGGGGCTTAAGCGCCCAGGTAGCGCGCTTAAGCGCCCTGGAGCGAGCTTAAGCGCCCTTGGTGGCTAAAAAATGTAAATTCCCTCTGTCTGTGGGCGCTTAAGCGCCCTGGAGCGCGCTTAAGCGCCCTGCCCGCGTAGTTTTTCAGCATACACCTGAGTTAGTAAAATTGTCATAACTTGAGCTACAGAGCTCCAAATGAGGAGCGGTTTGAAACCACGCGTAGCTAACGAAGAGATCTACAATATAGTAGAAGTTGAGAAATAAATAAGGAGTAAATTAATGGTTTAAAAATGGAATAAGAACATGATGTTAAGCTTGGTTTATCCGATTCCGCGAGGTAATATGGTTATGATCACGCAATTGGGCATTATCAATTCGGCATGTTTTAAAATGAAAAATTTAACCGGATTTTAATTGAACCCATGTGATTGTAACTGCGCTTAATATCATAATGCGATGTTAACAAACCGGTTCTAGAACGGGATGTTACATCTGGCGGCAGGAGGCCAGAGCTTAGTTGATGATATTGTTGTATGTTATGCTGACATGTTGGATGCTAGATATTCTGCTGATGTTATGTTTTTAGTTGCTTTTATTATGCTGTTGATGTTGAGACTTCTGTTGGGCTTGTGCCTTATTTGGGTGAGCATGGGGTTTGTCCAAGCCACTTTATGTTAGTACCTTGAGTCGAGTTGTATAACTTAGTAGGTGGTCCGGTCTACGTATTGTAGTTCCATGACTAGAGACTTATATCTGTTATTTTATTTTATGAGGTATTTCAGTTAGCTGTCTTTTGCAATTTACATGCAGGCATGATTTTATTTAATTGATTAATTAAGCAAGTTGGTAATGATAATGACGTCATAATTGGAAAAAAAAATATTCCGCATTTTTAAGTAAGCGCAGCTTAATACGATGATATGATAACATTACCGGATATATACGGGGTGTTACAGAACCCATTCAAAGAAATACCTCGAACTCGAACAGATGGAGATTGCAAATGCACAACCCGAAGAGGGTAAGGGAAATAGCCCGCGAAGGAAAAGTCCGGTCTTGAAAGGAAAAGAACGAGTTGACAATAAGAAAAAAGATCCTAGGGCTAGAATCTCAGATACCAGAGTTCGAGTTGGAAGGTTCGACAGGTATACGCCATTGAATGCATCACGCTCTCAAATCTGGAGAGAAGTGGCAATGACGGAAATGAAGAAGGTGGAACGACCCCAACCCATATTCGACATAAGAGGTTTGGACAAATTGAAGTATTGTGCATTCCATGACGGACCGGGACATACTACTGATCAATGCTGGGACCTCCGAGATGCGGTGGAGAAATTTGTTCGAGATTGAAGGTTACGTCAATACGTGATAAAAACCCAAGGTTCCAGAAACAACAAAAGGAAGTTGGGAAATAGAAATCGGAGCAAAATACTCGTTCCTGAAAAGAAGAACAAACAGGAAAGGAATCAGAAAAATGATCCCAACTATGACGAATTCCCAGAAGTGAAATTTGATTGTAATGTAATTAGTTGAGCCCTGGGGGGAGGAGGAGATACTGTAAGTGCTAGAAGAAAATACCTGAAAAAGGTACTCTCTATTTGAGATCGTCCCAAGTTCAAAGAAGACCCAACCAAGCCAGACCCTCCTCTTTTGTACTTTACCAAAGAAGACATGCACGGCGTGGTATCGGGTTATGTTGACAGACTGGTTGTTGCTGGGACCCTATTGAATTGCCAGGTTCGAAAGATTTTCGTGGATGCAGGGAGCTGTGCCGACATCATACTCTAGGACGCTTTCAAAAAGATGAACCTGGATGAGGAGGACCTCAAACCTTGCAAAACGACGCTGATAGCCTTTAATG